GGAAATTTTGTTTAAGTGTTAACCTAAAGTATGTACTAGGATGTATCTCAGGAAAACATTTTAACTTCTACAGGGTGGCTCAAAAATGTGTGAGTGGATTTAAATGATTTTTTTAAATAAAACACCCTGTATATTATTGCATTTTTGGCTTCCTTTGAGAACACTTTACATGATCCTAAGATATGAGTAGATATATTTCGATAGTTTCAGAGAGATTAATAAATAAATAAAAAATATATATTTTTCAGCCTTTCTTAAAAGAATTATTAAAAATACAAGATCTATCCTGAAATCGAAACTACATTATGAACGTTAGATGGTCTGTACTTACTTTGCTATAAATATTGTAATCTTAAATCATATAGGATGTTAAAAATTCTATGCCAAACTTTCTAAAATATAAAATAATTTTTTCTTCGTTACTTTAAATGGAACACCCTCTATATTATATTTTTAATAGATGGAGAATTAAAAAATGAACATTTTTTTGTATTTAGAGTATTTCAAAATTTCCCATGCAGCACGTCCAAATGAAATTACGTTTCTACAAGGGAGACACATGAAAAACAAAATATGTTAAAGTGAACCTAAGTGTTCATCTAGTTCTAACATATACATATGAGATACACGCAGGTTTATATTGATAGAATTGTGTGATACAGTGTTTGCTAGTTGTATACCGTATGCACACAGGATTCTAAAGAGTTTTTTGTAACGTAACAAATAATTATTAAAATGATGAAATCTGACGTCGGTATATGAGACATACAATGTATAAGTCATATGCATGTATGATACTTCGTATTATAGTTGTGCTTATAGTACACACCTTGTAAAAATGTGACGTATACACATAATATAAATATCTATATAGACACTTTGTAATAGTGTACTGTTGTGTCTACATTCTAGCATGAAATGAAGGTGTGCGCACGCGCGGATAGCCTCAGCGTAGACACACCGACCAAGTGTATCTTATATGTCCTCTCTCCTTTCTCCTTTCTAGCAGTGGTATGTGTTAGCAGCCATTATTGTTTTATCATTCGGAAGCTCTATATAAATGTTCTGTTTGTGTGTAGTTTAAAAGAGATGTAAAGGTAAGCACAAGTTTTTAATTACCTTGTTACACCTTCCTAAGTGTATTATTAATATTATAGCGACTAGTAGCGACTCTTCCCGTACTCGATAAACCAATTTACGAAATTTTGACTCCAATGAATGAAAACTCCAAATATTCTCGTATAATGATAAAGAGGTTAGCTCTGCAATATAATTTTTTTTAATTTGGAAATAATAAAAAATCTAAATGGACCAGAGAAAGAAAGATTTAAACACTTCAAAGAACTTCTTACACTGATATTCGGTAAGTTATTGATGGATCAATATACGGATATGTTTAATATTCAATAATCAGTTTCATATAAAATTTAAGGGTGAGATTGTTAATCTGGAAATAAAATACAACAAAATCCAACAGAGTGCTCGATGAATGAGTATGCTAACAAACCAACTGCTTGGAAGGAGAAGAGGAAAAAAAATGACTAAACGATCGTGGTGATCTAAAATCGTGGTGATATACCAGTGTTTACCATTTTAGTATGTTGTTATACTAGGTACTTATATTTTTGATACATTTTTTTGATACAAATTCTGTTCTTTTACAGTGTTTTCTTTTGGAAAATACAAAGTTTTGCCTTCCTAATTTTCGTTCTAAAACGATATAATTGGGATCATTGAATAAATATTTCTTAAAGAGAACGAAAAGTTAGGCATCAAAACTTGTATTATTTCCTAAATTCGTTCATAAGAAGTAGTTTTATCTAGCACAAGATGTATATACGAAGCAAAATACATACGTATACACGCGGTAGTCACAACTACAATGTGTAAACAGAGTTTAAACGTAATACACAAGCACTGTGTATCCTACGGCACACTGTGTATCCCTTACTTTGTGTATACGTAAATGCTATACTGTGGCTACATTGTGTGAGGCGGACGTTTAACCTTTGTGCAAACGTGTTGAACTACAATGTGTAAACGTAGCATATTTACATCGGGGGAATTGTGTCACCCTGTGTCTGCATCTAATAATGTATACACATCGTAAATGTGATTTGATGTGCTGTATGGGTTGTAACGGTTTCGCAGATATTCGCGGTTATATATTTCATATGACATTTTCCATAATAAACTTTTATCAAAGCCACCCAATGATTTTTCTCACATATTTACCGAAAGAGCAAGGCTGGAACCGGAAGAACTATGCTCCCATTACCAACGTCACTTTTAGCGTACAGTATATATGAATATACTTTGACTTTGATACACACACTGATAAGTTTTTTAAGTGGAGGCTGTGTCCACCTTGCTTCAGATATCACGAACCGCCACTGGCTAAAACCACCAGTTTTCGAAATATTATAAAACTATCCAACATACACCAATCCATTTTAATTTGCCTTCATTAATCACGGAAAACGCACTTATAGCTTTATTTGGAAATACATACAGTTTGCTGGTATTTTACTTTTTTGAAATAATGTAATCGCCGTTTAAAATCAAAATACATACGTTGAATATTACCGTGCACTAATGAATGCAAAATACTATTGGGAAAATATTGGAAATTGGTGAAATAAATTAAATGGAATCAGGTATGAGAGTATTTCTTATCTGGAATGTTTACGTAAAATTAAAATATCAATCTATAAATGAATATTATTTATAAATATAGTAGGATAAATAAACAAATAATGTATTCAGAAATTTCTGTGATTTATACTAGAAATTTAAACATTTTAATTGACATTCTGTATAAGTACAGGCAATGAACGCAATACCCTACGATTGCTTATGACATTAAAATTAATAAAACGAAACACGTTGATTCTAATATTTATTTATAATATTTCTTTATTTTTAATTATGTCCCTAAAATGCTTTGAATTGTTTATGTACAGCAATTAATGCTAAAACCTGTAAAATATATACTAAATTTTAAAAAACTAGTTTTAAGTTAATCGAGTAAATAATAATCCCAATATATTATGGTGTATGACCTGTTTAGCCTGACTCAAAAACTCGAGATGACCATAAAACAAAATATTTTTTCAATTAGTATATAATTAACAAAATTGCGGTAATTTTATAAACCTTAATTAAAATTTATTAAAAATACCCATGTCGTTTATGGTTCATCCTCATTTATTAATAATACCTATGCCGCGCCGTTCATAATGATATATCGCTTTGAAAATTAAAATACGCTTTTATCACGCTTTATCCTGATTTTACTAGTCAATTACATAAGCAAAAATAATAATTTTGTTAATTTTACCCTGTGAACTATCCACGCTTCGCTCACTCTATCGATCTTAACTAGTGTATAATGCCACCTTGGGTGAAAAAGTTTATAATGGGAACTCAGGTTCACCAGGTTCCGTTACAAATAGGTTCCAGCTAGCTCAGTAAATAATTAAGTAAAATATATGCACAGAACAAGAGATATCAAAAGGGGAGGTGTATGGAAAAAGTGTACTGATTGAAAAGTCTAAAATGTACTGGATTCGTTTAATAAATACTAAATTTAAAGTTAAAACAAATTGTCAAGATCTATCATAAAATATATCAAATATTTAAATACGAAATAATGAAACTATGTAATATATATATATATATATATATATATATATATATATATATATATATATATATATATATATATATATATATATATATATATATATATATATAGTAAAAAAAAATGAACTATCCGTAAAATAAATTAAATCATGACTAGTATCACAAAATGTTGTTGTGACTATACTGTGAACAACCCTGATGAGTATTTGTGATTATGATTAAAATGACTATAAAGAATAAAATGAAATTTAAATGTAAAAATCCCCTGGTACACCAAGTTCACATACGATCGTATATTTAATGTAATAAATTTTAATCAATCATAAACGCAATAAAATAAGAGATGGTTATGCCCACTTGCACCGTTTGTATAAACTTTGTTTAAACGCTAAACAGTGATTAACTATAATAAAATATGTATAGTTAATCACTGTTTAGCCTTTAAACAAAGTTTATACAAACGGTGCAAGTGGGCATTAAAGTCTTATCTGTCATCCAGTGGTCGTTCCAGTTAGTCCATGAGAAAATCCAGATTGCCGGTCTTCAGTGTCACAGTGACATTCCTCGTCACACTGGCATTGACGCCACAATGGCATTAGTTGCAGAACCAAATCCAGTACAAAAAAAAATTGATAAAAATCTTAAGCTAAACCGTAATCATCACTAAGGAGTAATAGCCAAGGAACAAGAACCCTAAAATATGATCTACTTTAGTGACACGTTCTAGTTTGGACATAGTAAAATACCTTTCCCCCATGCGGACCTTCCAAGACAAGATGGCGTCTCAACGCATGTAACTCCATGGAAAAGGGTTCCTTAACTGTCCTCGTACTCATCCCAGTACGTCCACGCACCCATCTACAGCTCCTGTCCTCTAAAATAAATAGTTGTAGAAGAGAACCTTACACCTAAGAATGTCTCTTACCCAACCAACAAAGATATCCCTTTTCAAGGTTTCCCCGGAATTTCAACTACACAGGCCAAGCTCAATTTCTTGCCAATCGGTCTTCTCGACCCTCAATGAATTCCAAGACCGTAATTCTACTGAACAATCCCAATATGGAACGGCGACCAGCCAAAATTTCACTAGAATTTCTTTCTTTTATTTTCGGCAGAGATCAGAAGGCTTCCCCTGCTTTCACCAAGATGGTTCAAAGTCGAAAAAGGACGCGTGTTTGCAAAATCCGCAAAAGACGCTGGACTCCAAGATACCAACCCAAAATCCAACACTGGCAATCTGTAAAACAAAAGACCCAAAATAAAATTGACATAAAATTTTATTTAATGCATACGGATTGAGTGAAACATTTTATTACATCATAATAAAATTATAATAATCCCTATATGAACATAATATCTTCGGAAAATTATTAATACATTCTCCGATCATATAAAAACCGATTAAAAAGATCGAAAACCTAATTTACAAACATCGATCTGTCAACCTTCAACGCCGGTGTCACACGATCAGCTGACAAATAATTGAAACGTCAGTCTGTAAATCGTAATATAAACAAGATGAAATTTAGGGAAAAATCAACTATAATCAGGTAAAACCAATTGATTACACACAGGAAAAATACATAATAAAATCCTTAACCCATATGTATATTGCAGACCCAATATTCCCACTTGTTGCGTTGAAAACGGACAAAAGATAATCACATCAAGTCTATGTTCAAGAATCCCCCGAAGAAATATGCCAAGAAATCATCCTAACACAAGCATAAGTCTAAATAAAGAATTAGTAACCACTGTAGAAAGAAAGGTAGGTTTTACACAGACAAATTGATATTATATTAATGAGGTTTTATATTACAGTTATCGGAGACAACTCCATCCAAAGAAATTGTTGTGATGATGAGACTTAATAGATAAGATATTATTAGAAATTATATGTACAGTTAAGAAGTAAGCTAATTAAACGCTATTATTCAAGGTATTCAAGTAAGTTTTAGTTTTATTCCTAAAAATAAGCAAAATAAGTAAAATAAGTTAGGATGAAATTTTGAACCGTAACAAGTGATGGGATAACTCGAGCGAAAATTCGCTCGAATACTCGATTATTGAAATAACCAACATCGCTCGATTATGAACGAGCGATGCAAGTGACGAGTTACGAGCGACGAACGCAAGCGATCCTGGAATGAAATAAATTGAAATCCGATTAGTATGTAATATATATTTATCCGTTGCGTATCTGAGGGACAAAATTTTACGACCATCGACAATGGTTTGAAATAAACTAAATCAAGCGATCAAGCGAATCGCTCGTCGCTTGCTACTTGCCATTCAGTACCGAAATAATATGTGCCCTGCGCACGCAACTTACTGCTTGGCGCTTGGCGTTAACGAGTACTTACAACAAGCGACGGACGAAAAACCGTATTTATAAATACGAGCGATATTTCGTTCGAGCGATCGGTCGGTTATTGCAATCGCTTGAAACTTGAGTACTCGATTATTGAAATTAATCGGTTTTTCCCGTCACTAATCTTAACTGCGGCTATGACTGACAAGACCACCCGGCGCGGCTAGTCAAGCGCGGGTACTTGAAAATTAACGGAGTTGGCTAGCTGGCTAGTGAGTAAGCTGTGGTACAGGCAGATGTTGAATACCTAAGCATTTTATTCCACAGACACATATGCTTAATTCTTTAAGCAGCACAGGATGACTCAGCTAATTTGCCCAATTTAATCTGCACTATTGCCTGTCGCAATTACATGCTGTATTTTAAAGACACAAGATTTTGTTGATTGATTTGAAAAAACAAAAAAGCCCCATTGACTAAAATATATTACCATATGTACTGTATGTACTAATATTGTCAGCAAAAGGAAATATGTTAAAAACAGAAGAAAAATGACACTCGGGTGAAATGACTAATTGATAAGTAGACATCAAATCAAATTCTGAACAACTTTTCGCTTTCACTTTTTTGGCTATTTTAGTCCATTATGATTTATCATTAGATATTTGTAGTATATCGCACGACATCATGATTAATAATAAAATTGAACATGCCGAAGAAAATCTATAGAAACAGTTTTTTCAATAACTAAATTATAAAATATTTCCCATTTGTTGCTAATTTTTTGACACCACCGGTATTTTTATTTATTAAGGAATAACGTAAACTACATAAAAACAAATTTTAGCATTAATTAGTGACAACAAAAACACACAAAAAGGGATGATAATAATCTTAAACTAAAAATTATATTTTTAAGAAGGGTTTTCCTTGGCATTTCTTTGACAAAGATGATCGAATCGCCTTCTACCATCTATGTAAATTAATCTATACTAATACATATATAAAGTCCTTAAGTGACTGACACACTGATTAATCACGATCCTGCTCAAACCACTCGACGTAAGAAGCTCAATTTTGGTATACAGGTTGACTCTAGGGTGTTCGATAAGAAGGGATTTTTCGAAATTACAGTTCCAAGGGGGTGAAACCACCCCTAAAATATTACAATATTTTTTTATTTAAAAAACGGTCAAGTTTCCGAAAAAAACGCTTAAATACGTATATTTTATTTTGTTTTTTTTACATATTTTAAGATTTTTTAAAAATGTATATAGGGTGTTTCGAAAAATCTGGTAATTGATTAATCACGATCCTGCTTAAAGCGCTTGGCATAAAAAACTGATTTTTGGAAAACGGATTGACTTTAGGGTGTAGAGGTTCGGTAAGAAGGGATTTTTCGAAACTCGAATTCTAAGGAGGTGAAACCCTCCTCAATTATTAGAATATTTTTTATTTAAAAACCGGTGAGTTTTTCGGAAAAACTCTTAAACACGTATATTTTATTTTGTTGTTTTACATATTTTAAGATTTTTTAAAAATTTATACAGGGTGTTTCATAAAATATGACCATTGAGTAATCACGATTCTGCTTAAACTGCTTGACGTTTAAAGATGATCCGTTTGGCAAACGGATTGACTGTGGGGTGTAGAGGTTCGATAAGGAGGGGTTTCTCGAATCTCAAATTCCAAGAGGGCGAAAACCCCTCAAATATTACGATATTTGTTATTTAAAAAACGGTTAGTCTTTCGGGAAAATGCTTGGACACGCATAATTTTTTTGTTTTTTAACAATTCAAACAATTCAAAAATTTTGTAAAATTTCAAAATATGTTTTGAAATCATATAGGGGGTTCCAAAAAGTTAGGTAATTGATTAACCACGATTCTGCTTCAAATGCTTGACGTAAAAAGCTTATTTTTGGCAAACGGATTTTTCGAAAGTCAAATTCCAACGAGATGAAACTACCCCTCGCGGGTACACGCTAGTTGTTAATAAATATTTAATATTTTATTTTAATAATTCAAAACTAATATAAAATTGTCGCGGTATGTTTTATTTTCGAAAATATTTTTCCGAGTTGTTTTCATTAAAAAAATGCCGACCCTCATCAGCCTACCGCCCTAGGCAGCTACCTATCTTGCCTAATGGATAAAGCGGCCCTGCAGTCGTATCAAAGCCAAAGATTATGGCACAAATGGTTGTCGTCTAGGCGCATTCAGTGATGAGATATTTTGGTGTTTTCCCACAGAACATTAGCTGTTATTTATTAGCTGCAATCTACTGAGGAGTTCATTGAGGAGACAATGTCCATTGAAAGTAGACATAAGTATTACTTTTCGGACTTTTGAATATAATTAACTGTGTAAGTCGTTTGCATAATCGTAACTGCATTATCTATATGCGATGAAACTGCCAATCGGCCGTGATAAATTCCCTTAATTCGAATAATTTCAAACTGGAATAAACGTGTGCCAACTGGGTTACTGGTTGGTGAGTGACTGTCCCAGGCATGATTAAAATCGTTCAAATTTAATGCGACTAAAACTAGCCGGTTGTAAATTACGATTAGAATCGAATCGTTTAAATTAACTAACTTTAAATTAATATATCCGTGGTAATAAGTTACGATTTGACACCATTTATTGAAGATCAATGTAAATCTAATATTTCTAGCTACGATTATAACGTGTCTGTGTTTACGCAAATGCATTATAAGGTAATTAAAATTAAATTATTGTCAAATGGGAGCAGAAATGTCATGTTAAATTGAAGTCTTCAAGTTTTTCAGATATATGTAATACGATACATGCAGTCTTATGTATTGAACATAGTCAAACATTTAAATACAGAAAAGTGAAATAAAAATAAATAGAAGATGATCAAAAAGTTTACCTTTAACCGCTACATTCGATCTGGCATACAAGTCTACAGAGTTTTCATATACAGGGTCGCTTTTCTGTATGGAAACGGTCGATTATTAGGTAAAATATAGGAGGTACCGCAAAAAGTTAAATATAAAAATAATACAGTTTATACATATCTATTAGTGGGTAATATATTTAAGTATACAGGGTCGGTCATCCAGTCGTGGCACATCAAAGTTTAATTTTTTTAAATGGAACCCCCTATACAGGGTTGTTCACCACATACGACACGGAGTATTGTAGCTAAACGATTATATTTTTACAAATTTCAAGTTTTGGGTTCGATGAAGGACTATTAGAGGTACAAAAATAATAATAAACGAAATAAACGAATTATATCCAAAATATTAGTATCTGTACTCTTTAAAAATTTGGTGCATCTTTAAAAATAATCTAAAATATCAACATTCCATGTGTATATTGATAAATAAGTTCTAAATTACAAGAAAATGCATTTTCTACGGAAACTTAAAGAGATAGGTAAAAAATGGTATAATATAATTTGATAGACAATTAAATTGTGCATCTGATTCTCGTAAAATATACAGGGTGTTCCATTTAAGTTAAACAAGTTATTGCCGTTTGAAGCTAATAATTATTTAAAATAAATTTTTAGACACTCTGTATAAGGTAGTATTATTTTTATTATTGCAACACAATAACTGATCAATAAATAAACTTCAGTAAATATTTAGTATTAAAAACTTTGATACCCTTGGAGAAATGAAGCCTTAAAATTTTTACTGCAATTTCACAAAATTGAAAATATTTCAAAAACATTAAGGTTTAAGTATAATAAACCTTAATCAAATTTACCTTTATTTTAATCGTGAAAACTAAAAATGCAATAATATACAGGGTGTTCCATTTAAAAAAATACAACTTTGATATTTTTTACTTATTTGGGACACTCTGTATCTTGTAAAATTATTTTTAAATTGTACCTCTAATAGTCCTTCATCGAACGGAAGACTTACAGTTTGTAAAAATCTCACCGCTTGGCTACAATACTCCGTGTCGTATGTGGTGAACAACCCTGTATATTATTGAATATTTCGGTTCTTCCTTCAATTCTAAGCAGAAATCGAAATACATACAATGTACCTCATACCAACCGTTTCCGAGTTATTGACTTTTGAAAATATCACTTAAACAATTTGATTTAATTAATTTCCATATGTTCAATTTCATTTAACGATGTCATTCTGCCGAAACTGTGATACTTAATATTTGACATTAGTTCTCAAGTTAGAATTTACAGATGTATAAAATGAGAGTATAGCAAATCTGGAAATTACAAAATTTTCGTTTAACATTTCAATTCTTCAATTTATGTACCGGGTGTCCCACTAAGAATAGCTCTCGACTGTATCTCGGAAAGTATTAGCCGTAGGGCCTACGGAAAAAAATATTTATAACTAAAGGGGCTATGAAATTGCTGGAAATTATTTTCAAGTTTGTAAAACGGCTGCTAGAGGGCGCACCCTGCTATGGGAAATAAGAAAATAGATTTTTTACAGAATTTTGCCTAGATAATGGGTACTATAAATAATAGCTTCATAATCTTCAGTAAATTTTAGACTTTTTGTTAGAACCATTTTCCTCTATCTGCTATAATAAAGTGGTGGGGAAGGTTAGATCTATCTTTATTTAAATGTGAATAACTCCGGACTGGATTATCAGAATTCAACAAACGAGCTCGTTTAAAA